ACATTTGCATAAAGGGAATGCTTAAGAAGATGCGTTGATTTAGGCTTCCTGTCATCATGTTGGACTTTGAACAGGACAACTATTAACGGACTTCCTTGGACACTCCATTTCCTCTTGCAATAAAAAGGCAGCTGAAAGGGTGTTTCTTCAACTTTCTTCTGTCGTAATTGTGGAATGCCAATGGAAAGACAATCTCATATTGGTGTCCTTCCGTTTCCAGTTAGATTCAACACAACATTACCCAGAAGAGAAGAGTTGATTTCCCTTTGGTTATCTCCAGCATCTCACCTCTGAAGTTCTCCAAGAAGAAGGTCTCATTTTGATGATTGCTTGGATGCTCAATTCAGGGGACGAAGTTCCATTCCTTTATTAATACAGCATGTCATGTGCAAACCAAGAAACCCTGCGAGTCTTTAGGATGGACCTTGTCCTTGTCCAAATTGCCTTGGACACCACCTTTGCCCTGGAACAAAAGGGCAACAAAAGGATTTTCCTTTGTTGAAACTGTTCTGCTGCAATTGTGTTTTGGTTGTAAAACAAAAAAGGGTCTCATTCTCTCCTTTTATTTGCTTCCTCTAAATAATACCTCTGATATTGCAAACTTTATACAACCCAATTCTCTTTCCTTTCTTGAGATCCGCATGAAGTATTTTGCAGCTGGTGAAACTGCTCAGTCTGTTGCACAAAGAAGAGTTTCGGGAGTGTTGGCAGATGTTTGGTGTGGTGCATTTCTAGGAAAGTGGCACCCCCTACCATCGAGTCCCATGACCCTACCTGGGAGACATGTTCTCCTATTCAAAATATATTTCACAGAAAGGTGGCCCCAGACCCAAATTTGTTCAAGGTTCCCTCTTTCTCTCTCAGAGCAAATCAGGTTCTTGAACACCCTTCATACTTGGTTGAGGTGGGACACCTGGGTGTCCAGAGAAAATTAGGCGATCCTTTCTGGCAGAAAAGCAGAGGAGGAAAGCGCACAACTTTCCAGGGGCTTTGGGGATGATCCATGATTATGATTGGAATAACTGAGTTCAGAATCATAGCTTGGCATGCTGGAATGTAGTGCAAAGGAGACATCTTCTGAACAGAAAAGAGCGTGGAAATGTAGGTGGTGATGCACGGAGGCCTTGAAGTCAGGGGAGGTATTTCATTAAGTTCCTCTTTGGTGTTCCTCACTGTGTTACCCAACGTAACAGTAATAGTACCCTTCATCCTTTGCCTGCACGTTGTTGATAGTCAAGAAAACAATTTCCTTGGGGGTGTTTGTAAAAGTAGAGAAATGACCAGAAGCCTCTGGGCTAAACTTTGTCTCTCTGGAGGTTGTATTATAACATAGGAGAAATCTGGGACTTTCTCCTCCCTTTTGCTGGTACCATGAGGAGTAACGAAAATGGAGGCCATTGCTGATCTTGCAGGAGAGAATTGCTGATTCTCCAAGAGATGCAGAGCGGGCAGTTTCCTGAGTATAGTTGTACCTGACCGTGATACCTGGAGAAAGAAAATCAACATAAAGGAAGTAGGAATAGATTACTGTATGTTTGCAGTTATTGTTTTAATGCTGGGACAAAACATGTCGGCTATTTTGTCTTGTCTTCCTGCCAATCAAATTGATTATTGTTCTGCCAAAGGGATGTCTTGCTCGATAATCTTCCTGAAAGTAACAGCCTGCCGTGCCTTTTCATTACATCCAAGAAAGACCAAAGCAACCTTTGAGCAACTCTCTGCTTTGCAAAAGAAGGAGGTTTTTGTTTCAGTTCCCCATCAGATTGTCTCACTGTGGAACATTCCACCACTGCTATACCACATGTGACAGTAATAATCAGCCTCGTCTTCAGCCTGAAGGTTGGTGATGGTTAAGTAGCCGTTGTTGCCTGACCGGGTTCCCGTGAATCGGTCTGGGATCCCTTCTCCCCTGCTACAGACAGAATCACAGTGCACAAAGCGAGGGCCTTCCCCAGATTTCTGTTGAATCCAGCCAATGTAGTTTGGATTGCCGCTGATGGCACAGGTGAGTTGAATTGTCCCTCCTGGAGATCCAGACTGGGAGGCGGACTGAGTCAAAGTGGGCTGTGAAGTGACGCCTTTACAAAGTGGGAAAAAAAGAGGAAATAATGAAGACTTGTTCTATCATGGGTGCCTCCAAAATTCCCAGAACCATCATTTGGATAGACCACATTGGATTTTATCTTAGAGAGATTTCCTGGGATAGTTGAAGAAGAGGTTTCCCACATATTTACCTGAGAAATAACTAAGAAGAGAAAGGAAAACCAGTGTCCAGGCCATGGTGCTTTCCTTCAAACAGTCTCCCTTTCCAAGATCAAGGAATATCCACCTGAGATCCTTCTGCCTTCTTACTTAAGTCCTCCTAAAATGGAAGAAAGGTCCATGCAAATAGAGGTCACATGATTGGCTTTCCTTAATTCTATGAGCCGCCCTCCTCAAAGACTAGCCAATCAGGTCAAAGTAGATTGGATTCATGGAGAAGACATTTGCATAGAAGGAAGTCTTAAGAAGATGCGTTATTAAGGTTTTTGGTCATAATATGGGACCCCAATGGGATAAATTGCCTTGGGACACCACAATTGCCCTGCAACAAAAGGGCAACAGAAGGCCTTTTTTGGAGGTTGAAAGTGTTCTGCTGTAATTGTACTTTGGTTGCAAAAAGTTTCCCATTCTCTCCTTTGATGAATAATACCTCTGATGTCAAAAACTGCTTTATACAACAAAATTCTCTTTCTGGAGTTCTGCACGAAGTATTTTGCAGCTGGTGTAATTGCTCAGCCTGTTGCACAGAGTAGAGTTTTAGGAGTGGCAGCAGAAGACTTCTGGGCAAGTGGCACTCCCTCCTGTCATATCCTGTGACCATACCTGGGGGAGTCCCCCTCCCATTCGAAATATATTTCAGAGAAAGTTGCCCCTTTCCCTCTCAGAGCAAATCTGCGTCTTTAATGTCCTTCACACATGGCTGGGGTTGGATGTCCAGAGAAGATGATGCAATTATGAGTGGTAGAAATATTGGGGAGGAAATGAAATAATCTTTTTATGGCTTTGTAGATGTTCCATGAATGGAACTCTCTTGTCTTAAAGTTACCAAGTTTGGAGACCTCTGTTAGAATGCTTTAAATGGCGCAAGTGAAGCTTAATTATGGGAGAAGGAAAGGAAAGGAAGGAAAAAGGAAAGGAATGGAAAGAAAAAAAAGAGAAAGAGAGGAAAGAAAGTAAAGGAAAGGAAGAAGAAAGAAAAAAGGAAAGGAAGGGAAAAAGGAAAGGAAAGAATAAAGGAAAGGAAAGAAAGGGAAAGGAAAGGAAGGGAAGGTAAGACATTCATGAAACCTGCAATGATGAAAATTCATCTTGGAGTTTCTTAATTAATGAACTGGTTTTTCAATTTTTGTTTTCCTCCTAGGCTAAGCATAATTGTTCAACTGTAAAATGTCACGGTAGAAAATGAAATCAATAGCTTACTAAAAAAGTGAGAGGTATAAAGGATGTACGCCTATATCATTACATTGTTTTATTGCTGATGCAAAAAAAAATGAGCCTTGTCTTTCTGTGCATCAAATTCCTATATACCCTATATCGGGGTGGCCAACCTTCTGGACGTCAGGGACCACCAAACTCATAATTTTAAATCCCATGGACTAGAGACCCTGGAAATATCCCCAAAAAAGTCTGCAGGAAAATTCCCCATCCAGTTTTCCTACCAATTGATCATTCTTTATTTGGGATTGCAGGATACCTTCTCTAGCTCTGTTCTCGGGGGGGGGGGGGGAGTGAGAGAGAGAGAGAGACTCTTGGCTTCATGCAAGGAAAGCAGCAGAAGCAGCAGAAGTCTTTCTTTCTCTCCCCCAAACTCCACCAGAAATGAGTCTTTGTAAGACTTGTCGTGCTAGCGCAGCCTCTTTCTTCATCAGCTCTTCATGGACCACTTTATTTTCATCTTCGTCTACTTACTTTGCTTGTTCTTTTGGACTCCAGTCATATCGAGGGAGCATTTTAACTTCTTCATTAGCTTTCTCAGCAACATGAACATTAAACGTGCAATCACAAATGTGGGAATGGACAGCTTCTGTTCTGACGTTTTGATTTTGATGGTTGACTATTTGAAGCTTCTCAGATCATTTGAAATTGCTTTGATTCATAACCATTCAGATTATGTTTGTACATGCACACCTACATTATTAGTGGCCAAGGAACCATATAGCTTGCTAAATCATTATTTCAGATAGGATTGGTAATGCTAACAAAGTGAGGATTTAAATCTGATGAAGGCTGATTCACCATTAAACAAGATATTTCCTAGCTGGAAGTTGAGGTATTATTAAGTGTTGTACCTTATGATTCCTGACTCTTGACAAATGTATCTTTTCTTTTATGTACACTGAGACCATTTGTACCAAGACAAATTCCTTGTGTGTCCAATCACACTTGGCCAATAAAGAATTCTATTCTATTCTATTCTATTCTATTCTATTCTATTCTATTCTATTCTATTCTATTCTATTCTATTCTATTCTATTCTATCCCTATCCCTATCCCTATCCCTATCCCTATCCCTATCCCTATCCCTTATTCTGTTCTGTTCTAGTCTAGTCTAGTCTAGTCTAGTCTAATATTCCATTTTATTCTATTCTAATATTCTATTCTTTATTTTATTTTATTCTCTATTCTATTCATGAAAAGGAAAGAATTGGAGTCTCAAAGGTGCTTTTTCAAAAGGCAATTGGACTATGTTTTTTTTTTCCTTGAAAAAACATAGATCTCATCCAGGAGGCTTCTTCAGTTGAGACAACCATGATCTGGATGATTGAGAATTTCCATAGAAAAAATGGGAGATATTTTAAAACCTGAATTGTTGGCATACAAAATAGGAACTCTGTACTGAATGCAGGTGCCTGTTGGGAATTGGCAAAAGATTTTAGTCAGTAGCCCATAAATCTTGATGATGTTGGTGATGAGGAAGATAGGGAAGAAAGTATCAATAGTGATAGGCGTCTTGGGGCGCACTCCTAAAACATCTGGAGCATCATCTGAACACATTGATAAAATAAACCCAGAGAAGGCAATGTCAAACTACTACTAAAATCTTGCAAAGAAAACTGCAGGGACCTATCCAGGCAATTACTAGGAGACAACACTGACTTGAACACACACACACACACACACACACACACACACACACACACACACACAAAGATAGTGTTCAGATATCTGAACCTCAAAGCAAACCAACCACAGTTCAGTCTAGCAAGTTGTGCAAGCCCAACTTGGGTGATCCATTTCCAAATCAGTGGGTCCTCTGAACTTAGAGAATTAAATTTGAGAACCACAGTCGGGCTAACACAATTTAGGAGAGGGAGCCCTGTGTGCTATTTTGGTTTACAAACTTAGTTTATTCTTAAAACATCCAACATAGATGATAAAGCAAAGCATTGTGTATGGGAATGGTTTCCCCATGTATGGTCACATGCAAACCAAGGACATAATAAGATTGGAAGATTTTTTTAAAACTTAGTTCTGTTGACCAGAGCATTTAGAGAAGTTAAGCTATTAAATTTTGCCCAGTGTAGCAAAATGAACCAAGATCTCCCTCTTGTGTCTAAAGATCAAATAATCACAAAATGTTAGCACATTATTTACGGTGTTGTTGTTTTTTTCAATTCTTATTTTACAATGTATTCAATAACTCAACATTCAGTGCATCTTGGCACTTTTATTCTGAATCATAGTAAACGTCTCTCAGATGACAAATGTGAACAATCACCTCTGAATTGAAGTCTATGAAATTCAAAAACTAGCAATATACTATAAAACCGATGTAAATTGTTGGGTTTTATCATGACAGCAAAGCACAGATTGTCTTGAAGTCTTCAAAAAGATATTCTCCAGGGAATTTTGACCATGCTATTCCATGTTTGTTTGAACTACCTTCTGTCTCTGGTGAAAGAACTCTACTTCCAAGTAAATAAACATAGAATTGGACATTTGGCATTTTAGAAAATGTCCCGTTATCCCAAAAGTTCCAGGGTTACCAATTCTTTTTATTATCATTATTATTATTATATATTTTATTAAGTTTTCGCATTTTAAAAACATAAAACTTTATACATTAAGACATCTTTTGCATCTCCTTACATGTTTCAGTATATGTATTTACTTATTCCTTTACCATTACATCTTACTCTTGCTATAAATCAGTATCTTTTATCCTTACACATCAATCTTCTCCATGGTATATTTACATATTTACATATTCCCTCATTCTTTTTCTAATTGCAATTTTATTTTGTTTTTATTTCTAAACCACTCATACCAGGCATCCCAGGCCCTATAATAAATTGAATCTTCTCTGTTTTTATTTTCATCGTTAGCCTGTTCATCTCTATACAATCTTTTTTTTTTTTTTATAACCATACCTTCTGGTGGACCCCTTTTTTCTTTCCAGAGTTGTGTGTATGAAATCCTTGCAGCTGTTAATATGTGTAACATGATATATCTGTCTGTTTTGTTGCATTTTTGTGTTATTATACCTAATAAAAAAAGTTTCCGGATTAAGCTCAGTTTTCTGATTTGTGATTTCTTCTATCCATTTTCTAAATATTGGAGTACGATCATATACACAGGGTTACCAATTCTTAAGGGAGAATTAAGAACATCTTATGTTTTGTAAACATCTCTTTTCTTCTTAAAGTTGAGAACAGCTTCAACTTCACTTCCTCGCTTGACTTGCATCGCTGTGAGCTTACTCAAAACCGTAGCTTCCTCCACAGTAATATGTAGCTTCGTCTTCTGGTTGGACGTCGGTGATGGTTAAATAATATGTGTTGCCTGATTTGAAGCCAGAGAAGCGATTGGGGATCCCGTGACCTCTGGAGTAACTGGGAGTCAACAAAAGTCGTGGTGCCTGTCCTGCTCTCTGTTGGTACCACGAGACCGCATAGTCTTCATAACCAATCATCAGGTAGCAGGCAAGTCTTACGTTGTTCCCAAGAGCTGCAGATTGGGAAGCTGGTTGAATCAATCCAACCTGAGAAACAACACCTGGGATATATGAATTGTAGGTGGTATATTAATGACAAGCAAGCAAGCAGGTAGTTTGACAGCTCACAAGTTGACATATGGATAGAATAGAGCTGGAAGGGACCTTGGAGGTCTTCTATTCCAGCCCCCTGCTCAAGCAGGAGAACCTATATCATTTCAGGTAAGTCTAGTTTCTTCTTAAAAACCTCCAGTGATGGAGTGCCCATGATTTCTGAAGGCAAACTCTTCCACTGGTTAATAGTCCTCACTATTAGGAACTTTTTCCTTGATTCTAGATTACTCCTATCTTTGATTAGTTTCCAATAATTGTTTCTTGTCCTGCCCTCTTGAGCTTTGGAAAATAATTTGACCTGCTCTTCTCTGTGGGATCTTCTGAGAAACAACCACAAAACACAACCCTGATTCCTGAATAGGATCCACAACCCTCTAATCAAGGACCTACCTAAGAGAAAACCACACTTCTACCAACAAGAGCAGGGCCAGTACTGTATATAAAGAGGGAGCAACCCCCACACTTACTAGCATTGAAGACATTACCTAGTTGGGTAATGAAATGCCTGCAAGCAAATAGCTCAGAGAGTACCAAGGACTCCACAATCTAGTGTTACATTTCAAATAAATATACCACAAACGATTTCCCTCCACCCTATATATCTAGGTCTTACCTGTCCAGTAACTGAGAAATAGAAGGGAAAACAAAATCTGTTTCATGATCCTATCTCGGCAAGGAAGGCAGCTTTTATTTTTAGTTTTTTGAGAAAGACACCAATATGGAAGTTCTCCTTTCTTAAATTAAACCCAGAGTTACAAAATAGCACTTTTATGCAAATCTATCTTGTGCTCATCAGGTCTCAGGGGGATAGGTGATATCGCTGCAAAAACAAAGACCAAGCATGCATGGTTGTGGTAGGAGTAATTCTGGCTATATATACCCGTGTGTCTTCAGGTTAGTCTGGACTCCTGGTGACTTCCTCAACTCATCCTTGCTGGTTCCTTGGCAACGTTTTCAGAAATGGTTTGTCCTTGATTTGTTCTTCCTAGGGCTGAGAGACAAGGACTGGCCTAAAGTCACCTGAGTTCTTACCAAAGGAAGGACTTCAGCTCATAACCTCTCAGTTTCTAGCCTGATATCTTAAGGAAAGAGAAAGTGGTCTCTAGTTGTGATGAAAGCTATCCAAGATGCTGCTAACATGCCAGATGTGGTTATGATGGGAAGGGAAAATCCATCAGTAGGATTTCTTTCTTTCTTGAAGGTTCTGCAAACAGATACAACATTTTTTTTTTTGGAAGGAGGAGAAACTATTCTGTAGTGTAGCGAAGATCTGGAGAAGGTCTTGGACGTGAGGGTAGCGCCATTTTCATGGTCTTCATCTTTGCTTTGTGGCACTCTGGAGATTGTTCCTGTTAAAGGTAGGCTAAACACAAGCATATGATTCTCAAGGTCCATGCCAAGTTGTGTGTTCTCCAGGGCAATTCTTTGGTCACTACCAGGGCCCCCTGTCCAGTGTCAGAGAAATCAGGAGATCCAGGCAGTTCAAATAGGTAAACAGATTTATTGCAAACTTGAGCTCTATAAGAATCTGAACTACTAATGGTCAAAGCAATTGGGTGGTAGATAAGGAATTGGCAGTGGGCTGGATTTAGTTCTTTGGTGGGAACGAAGGAACTCATAACTGATGATGTTTGACCCATCCCTTGGACTCAACCTGGACATCTCCCACGTCACCAGCTTCATTGGTTCCTTGGTCACTTGCTACCAACTCAACCCTCCCCTTGTAGACTTCCATTGACATTTTGATTTATTCACAAAGACAAAGCATTTCCTTAAGACCATGTGAAGGTCAACCATTCCCCACCCCAATCCTTGGATTTCAGAAATGACACCTTCTCAAGGTAGGCACATAAAGAAACAGCTTTATTCAAACACAGAAACCTAAACATTGGGTGGATGCAAACTGCCGTTGCTCTTTACCCCCATCAGCCACTATTATAGAAGTTTCTGACAATTCCAAATATTCTGAGCTTTTTAAAATATATTGAAAGAAAAAGGTTATTTTCCAACATTCATATGGCTTTCTAAATTCAGGGCAAATAACTTTAAGCAGCTTGAACCACTCTAGACGAATGGTTAAATACTCCAGTCAATCACTGCAATGGATGTGAACGATTTGCTAAATTTTATAGGTGAAATAGCCATCCAGGGAAAACCATTCCATTTCAAGTTTTCTTGTACTCAATCCTTTCTACTTTTACCTCATCCCCGATGAGTTGATACACATAGGTAACAATGACAGAGGACTGAACATCCATCAGAACAAAGGAAGGAATTACATCCCTGGAAAGAAGAAACGTTCGGAGTTGAAATAGGAAGTAATTTCTTCACATTTTGCTGTATTAGTTCATTTTAAAAAAAGCAGTCTTAATAAAATCAGGTCTGAATTTCTATCACGCACATTACGCTAAACTATGACATAGTATACTGTTTCTGGATTAATTCCTGGCTAAAAAAGGGCTTTTGTTCAGGATTTATTTATTTAGGTAGGGCATTTACAATTGATTTACAAATTTCGTTTAAATAAAGCATTAGCAAACATATACATAGAAGATATCTGGAGAATACAATATAAGAGATAAAATAATTAAGATAAAACCACAATAAAATCACCATAATATGGAGTCATAGAATTGCATATGGAATAGATGTTATAATTTGATGTCTAAGGAAGCTGACCATGTAACAGCTTCTTAGGGGGCTGTGATAAGATCTTCCAAGGATTTATTGAAATCTTCTATGATATATAATTAACCTTAATTTTTTTCCCCCAATTGCAACCACCTAGTTAAAACAAAACGGGACAAATGTTGGTAGAAAAGACTAATAGATTTAGTGGAGGTGAACATGCTTTGTATTTAACCCTTGAACACAATGATGGCAAAATTAAATCATCCTACGGTTTAAAGAACAATTTCCCAATCTGATTGTTACAGGTTCCCATGGTAGTTATTCAGAAGTGGGACAATTCCTTCGTATTCTTCCTTTGCTCTATTTTAGAAAACAAAATGTAATTTTCACTCACGGTTTTCAAGAAGAGTTTGGATGTCCATTTGTCTGGAATTTGTACAGGGTCCCCTGCTTGATTAAGGTGTTAGATGAGAAAACTTCCAAGATCCCTTCCAACCCTGTTATTCTATCTTCTACTTCACTTTGCTTGGGTCTTCTCCATTTAAGGCTATGCCTGATCATCCACCCAACAACCAGCAATTGAAAGAGATGCTCTCCACACACACACACACGCACACACACCGAAAAACCACCCCTTGGAATGTGTAGTTCTCACCTTTCCAGAGCACTGTAGGCCCCTGTGGCTGAACCAGGATTGATGTAGAACTTCTTCTCATGTTCTACTGCCTCAAACTTATGAGTGTGTCCAGATATTAAGATGTCCACGTCCAGCTGCCTCTGCAGGATCGCCAAGCTGGCCAAATCCCCCCAGGGCATAATTTGATGTCCATGGATCAGACCAATTCTGAACTGTCCAACAGTGACAATTTTCTGCTGGGGGTAACTCGTGCCCTGCAAAGACCCATGTCAAGGATTAGCCAATACAGAACTCAGTAAAGATAATCCTTGAGGACTCCTTGGTGCTTGCTGGTTTCCTTGCAGATATTTCAGTACCCATACTAGGTAACATCATCAGGACTAGAAAACAAGCAAATTCAGGGAGCACAAGGACCACACAGTCCTCCTCCTTTCCCCCTGCCACCAACCCCATCCCTTTCTAGCACTGATGGTGTACCTAGTTGGATAATGTAATGTCTGCGAGAAAGCAACCAAGTTGCAGAGAGCATCAAGGACTCCTCAGGTCAACCCTGAGCTACAAATTTTATTTGTCTTTTAATGACCCCATAATCCCTTACATCGGGGTGGAGTCAGGGCAACTGAATGGAGCTGAGTGATTACTGGCCGGATGTCTTTCCTGTTGCCAATGCAGAGTTCACAGCCATATACTCATTGGGCCCCAAAAGAGAAATATCTGTTGCTACCTAGGATCGAACTCACAGCCTCCTGATTGTGAGGCGAGAGCTTCACCTCTAGGCCACCGTACCACTCAAACCCTCCCAATTGCAGCCATAACTTGAGGACTATCTGTAGTGCCTGAGATCAGGACAGGCTTATACTAAAATGCAGGCTGAACAGTTTTATCTGAGCCTTGGTTTTGAAGTCAACTGTGGTGGCTTGTAAGCCAAAGTGTATGTTTTAGCTGATTGTGTGAATGCATCCATTATCATTTTTCAGTGTGCTTTTATGAAAACAATGATTGTGACTCAAACCATCATTTCTAGCCTAGTTCTTAAGGATGCTTCAAAAATATAATAGCTTGCTTTCACATGGTGTAAGTTTATCCACTGTGGTTCAACACTGTAGATCAGGGGTCTTCAAACTTGACAGCTTTAAGACTTGTGGACCCAGAATTCCTCCTCCAGTCATGTTAACTCAGGAATTCTGGGAGTTGAAGTCCACAAGCCTTAAAATTGTCAAGTTTGAAGACCCTTGCTGTAGATGAACCCCCACACCCCAAAATGATGCTTTGCTTAATAAAACACAGATAGGACAAACCATGTTTAGGAACATAGACCTTGGGAATGAGAGTTGTGTATGGCTCTCAAAACTTGGCATACATAAAACTCTTTTATGGAATTCTAATTTTAAGGCAGAAATGAAAGTTCTGCTATCATCTAACAAAAGCGGCCATTAGTCTGAATTTACAGCTAATGGAATCAAGTTTGTCAACCTAAATCCATTTCCTCTTAGGAACAATAGGGGTTTTTTTTAGCTCAAAAGACTAATGCTAAACTAGGTTTAAGTCTAAGGAACATTAAAGCATTGGTAACCACCATAATATAAGTAGAACCTCCATGAACATGAGAAAAAAACGATGCTCTTGAACTTTCAATGGGAGGAATGGATGAGCTTCAATTGCCCAAACCAGAATCAGCCACGTTCTCCAATCTCCTACCTCATCAAAGTCCCCTCTAACGATGTGGACATCTCCAGCCAGCGTCCTCAAATAATCATAGCTCTCCTTGGTGCAAAGATTCCCAGTGCAAAGGATATGTTGGATCTTGCCTGGAACAAGCAACTTTTTAAACTTGGTTGGAAGGCTGCTACATCGGTGTGGGATGTGAAAGTCACCTATCACTAATACCAGCTGAAGGGGAAAAGAGGTAAAGTAACAATCAATACCTGGAACACTCTACCTGAATCCATTGTTTAAGCTTCAACCTCGAACTTGTCTTCTGTGGACCTCACTCCATTCCTAAAAGGTCCTTAAAGCGGGCATGCATAAGCGCACCAGGGTGCCTACTGTCCCTGGTCCTACTGTCCCCATTTATCTGTATTTATTTCCTTTGTTCTTGTTTATGTTTATACTTATACTTGTTATCTTGTCCATGATTTGACAAATAAATGGAATGGAATAAAGTAGAGAGTCCACTGCAACATTTAGTAACCATTGGTTCAATTCATTCCAAAGGTAATACACTTCCAAATTTCTTTTGTCACTGTGGAGGACAACAGAAACTGAGGACATGTTAAAGAAGTTGTGTTATAGCAACACGGAGATATTGTTGGTTGTAAGAGGAGAATAAAGGAAATTCAACGTTTAAAAAAAAATAGATAATGCAGTCTAGGGGAACATTCAAAGAAAAGCTCCTTCAAACCTAGCACCAGTCACAAGCATTTTTTTTTAAATTATCCAACCATTTCTAAACATTAACCAAACTGATTAGTTTAGCAGCTTCAGATAGTTTAAAAGCTAAGGGCATTGTTACAAATTGTCCTCCTGTTTTGGAGAATTAACCAAGTGGTAAGTGGTGAAGATAAAGGGAACTATCTAATTATTCACGCCAATGAATCATTCTTTTAAAACTACCAAAAAGTTTTGGAAAACCCTGAAATGTGAAAACAAAATTGATTCCTTCCTCTTTAGCTTTTTACCTGGAATAATTTTGAAGTTCAGAATTTTAAGAGGGTATTGGAATATTGGAACAAATGCTGTTGCTTTGTGTGTTGCCTCAAGAGACAAACCTCAAATATTATTCAGCTGCAAACATTTTTAATGACAAGAGTCATTTTCAGCATTGAAATTAACTGGATTTTTGTTGCTGTTACAAATCCACATTTGATCTAATGCACAGTCCTAATGCACCTACCCGCCCCCCCCAACACACAAACCATTGTAACTCAAATGCAACTAAGCTTATCCAAAGAACACATCTTCAACTACAAGTATAGTCCAACAGACAGAGTTGGAAATAAGATTTCAGGACTGTTATACAATAATCCTAAAGTTACCTTTTCAAGTAAAGAAACACCCAATAGGTAGATAGCTGAATCCCATTGCTATCTACCTGTTAATTTCTGCTCCATAGATTCAGAAATGCCTTTGAAGGGGTCTCTAAATGTTTAAAAACTCCAACACGTATGCATGAGAGAACCAACCTAGAACTAAGGAGAAAAATTCCAGACAGTTGGAACAATTAACCAGTGGAACAACTTGCCACCAGAAGTTGTGGCTTCTCCAACACGGGAGGCTTTTAAGAAGAGACTGGACAGTCACTTGTCTGGAATGGTATAGGGTCTCCTGCTTGAGCAGGGGGTTGTCTAGAAGACCTCCAAGGTCCCTTCCAACTCTGTGATTCTGTTAACAGGGCCCCACTCCCACCACTCTTTCATCCGAAGCGAAGATTTAAAACTATCCCTAGAATCTCAACTCAAGCAGACTTGCTTCCAGGTGGAAAAAAGGCCACACTAAATTAACCAAGGGGGACCCAAAAATATCTTTCTCCTCTACTCACCATCTTGCTGAATCTCTGACTCTGGTCTGGGTTAGCAAGTTGCAAAGCAAACACACTAAAAAAAAGCAGGAATACAGGTTGCCAAAGGTCAGCTGTTACCCTTTGATTGAACGACTAAGACAATGCAAAACCACAGCCACACCCCCTTAAGGGCTCTTTATATTTGTATTTAGTTTAATCCTGAAAGTTCTTACTTGCAAAGGCTTCCTTTTAAAGCAACAGCCTGCTTTGAATTCCAAAATCTGCTGTACAGGTAAGTCCATGACTTACAAGGGTTCAATTAATAACGGTTCAAAGTTACAACAGCACTGACCAAAGTGGCTAAGCACCGTTTTTCACCCTTGCCACCATTGCAGTTGTGACAAGAAAGGTTGAAAAATGGAGCAAAACTCACTTAACATCTGTCTTGCTTAGCAACAGAAGTGTGGAGCTCAATTATGGGTCATATTGGGGTTGAGTTTTGTTTCCGCTCAGTTGACAATCATGGGAGTGAAATTTATTGTACAGGATCCTGAATTTCTTGTGAGGTTCATAGGAACGATTATAACAAATGTGAGGAGGCTAGAGTGGTACCCCTTAAATCTCCCTTCCTCTGGGAAATCCTCCGGAACATGACATGATTTGCTTTTAAGGAGGGGAATTTATTTAACAGATAACAGAGTTGGAAGGGACCTTGTAGGTCATCTAGTCCAACCCCCCGCCCAAGCGGGAGACCCTACACCATTTCTGACAGATGGCAGTCCAATCTCTTCTTGAAAGTCTCAAGTGATGGCGCTCCCACAACTTCCGAGGACAACTTCTGTTCCATTGGTTGATTGTTCTCACTGTCAGAAAATTTCTCCTTATTTCCAGGTTAAATCTCTCCTTGTTTAGTTTCCATCCATTATTCCTTGTCTGGCCTACAAGCACTTTAGAAAATAGCTTGACCCCTTCCTCCCTGTGGCAGCCCCTCAAATATTGAAGGACTGCTATCCTGACTCCCCTGGTCCTTCTCTTCACTAGACCAGTCAAGCCCAGTTCCTGCAACCGTTCGTTGTATGTTTTAGCCTCCAGTCCCCTAATCATCCTGATTGCTCTTCTCTGTACTTTTTCTAGAATCTTAACATCTTTTTATAGTGTGGTGACCAAAACTGGATGCAGTACTCTAGGTGTGGTCTTACTAAAGCTTTATAGAGTGGTATTAGTACCTCCCTTGATCTTGATTGTATCCTTCTGTTAATAGAACTTAGGATTGCATTAGCTTTTTCGGCTGCTGCTGATATTTAGTTGGTTGTCCACTACTTTTGATTTTTCTTGCCTAAGTGTAGGACTTTCCTTTTCTCTACATTGAATTTCATTTTGCTAGATATGGCCCCGTGTTCTAGTCTGTCAAAATCCATTTGGATCTTGAGCCTATCGTCTTGGGTATTAGCTATTCCTGCCAGCTTAGTATCACCTGCAAATTTGGCAAGTTCCCCTTCTATTCCCTCATCTAAGTCGTTAATGAAGATATTGAAGATATTGTTTGCTTTTCTTGCTTGTTTGTCAAACATATACAAGACAACAAGTATGAACATAAACAAGAACAAAGGCAGTAAATACAGATCAATGGGGACAGTAAGACAGGGATGGTGGGCACACTGGTGCGCTTATGCACGCCCCCTTTGAGGACCTCTTAGGAATGGGATGAGGTCCATGGTAGATAGTTTGAGGTTGAAGTTGCGAGGGTTTGAGGCTGTGACAATGGAGTTGGGTAGGGCGTTCCAAGTGTTGACCACTCTGTGGCTGAAGTCGTGTTTTCTGCAATAGAGTTTGCATCAGTTTACCTGCAGTTTGCATCGGTTGTTTGCCCACATATTGTTGTGATTGAAGTTGTTGATGGGCAAGATGTTATAGCAGACAATTTTGTGACCTATACTTAGATCGGACCGCAGGCGGTGCAGTCCCAGATTGTCCAGGCCCCAAATTTCAAGCCTGGAGGCATAGGGAATTCTATGGTGAGTAGAGGAGTGCAGAACTTTTCTCGAGAAATACCTCTGAACCTGCTCAATTGACCTCTTTATAAATCTCCCCCAGCCTCCCGGTGTCTCAATGTTTGTCTCAAGATTGCACAGCTCCAAATACCTTGAATCATCCCCCAAACTAGCAAGATAACATTCTTTCCTTCACCACTTCAAGGACAAAAGAGAAGTGTGACCTTCCTCTCATGGCCAAGGATGCAGGGATCTTGTAAATCAGTGACTTCCTCTTTCCTGGTGGGTTTATTTAAGCTGCCAAGGAGGTATTTTTGTTTCACTTGTTCTGGCTTGTTCTGCCAGGGATGGTGGTTGGAAGGTTAGGGAAGTATGTGAGTTATTGTGATTAATGTTGATGGTTGCCATGTTTTATTTTTCTTCTGTTTTGTTATGTTAGGATTTGCTTGATGTTTTTAGCTCTGATCTGTGCTCAGACAACAACATTTGTATGCATTGTTGGGGCCATATAAGAAGAATTTATAAACAAATACAGTCAATAGATACAAGATCATATTGCTTCCATGTTGGAGATTCCACTTGCATTATAGTGAACAATGAGAACAATGAGCCAATGGGACAACTTACCTTCAGAAATCGTAGATGCTCCCATCATTGGAGGGTTTTAAGAAGAGACCGGGCAGCCATTTGTGTCAAGTGGTATAGGGTCTCCTGCTTGAGGAGGGGGTTGGACTAAGAGACCTCCAAGTTCCCTTCCACCCCTGTTGTTCTGTTAGATGGCTACAGCCTTCAAAGAGACTGTGAAGAACACAGGGCAGAAATTCTGTGTTAAATAAGACATAGTCATACTTCAGCTGATCCCTCTCCTTCTGCCCACCATGACGTCCTAGTCCAATGGCAGTGTCCTTCTAGAATTCAGATGCCATGATATCCCCAAGAGTCTAAAAGAGAGTAGCGCCAACAGAAGAAGAACCTGACAGCTTGAGAAGGCTAAGAGGAACCAAGAACCACTACTTCACATATTTGCAAGTCGTGCATATCAGAGATCACCAGCTGCAAGGTTTTTGCTCAGCTCTTCAGTGGGATTGTAACACTGTGTGCTTGCCACCACCTGCATAAGAGAGGCAATAATAATCAGCTTCATCCTCTGCCTCAAGATTGGAAATGCTTAACACAGAAGATTTTCTGGAGTTTTCAACAGAACCGGAGAATCGTGCAGGGATTCCAGAGGCTGTGTTGCTATCATAATATATGAGGAGTTTGGGCGAGGTTCCAGGCTTCTGTTGATACCAGGAGGAATACCCTGTTCCAATTGTTCCACTGCTTATAGTACAAGACATTTGGACTGTCCCTCCAGGAGATCCAGAGGCAGAAGTTGGTTGATTCAGGTCAAACTGGGAAAAACTTCCTGAAAAAAAAAAAAGCAAAAATGACAGGAGGATTCAATCAGCAATGACGTTCATTGAACTTAGGAGAAATGTGTGGTAGGAACAGACCCCTAAAATCAAAGAAGTAGAGGAGAAACCACTGCCCTGAATTTTTAGGTGATGGAGGAAGAGTATAAAAGTCCCAGCCTTTTAAAATAAATATCCCAACTTATCAATTACCCATAAAGGAAGAGGAAAGGATGAGAAGGGGCAGCCAAACCATGGTGGAAGATGGGGGTCAGGAATGAATTGTCTGCAGATCCAGGTGTCCTCTCTGCTGTTAAGCCTTTGGCCAGTGGGGAATTCAAATTCATGCAAATGATCTGCCTGCTCATTGAATCCTCCTCAGATATGAGAGCTTGCCTCAGATAAGAGGGAAGATCATCCTTTGAGGTTTCATCCTCTTCAAGCGTTAAGATTTGCTGGTGCAGTGTTTGTGGACACTCCCATTTAGTGAAGCGAGAACTTTTGGGAAGGACGTTGGAGGAATGGCAGAGGACAAAGCTTACCTGAGACATGACCTCTCTTTCTCTCCTCGATCATCCTTTGTTCAGGCTGAGAAACATTCCACTCAGCAATCCAGGGAAATGATGGCCCATTTTAGAGATGTTAGGAGCGACAACTGTCTATCTTAGGTCACAAATTTATGTTTCCCACAAAAGCTGCAGTGCTCATCAGAGTTGACAAAAAAAAAAAAAAAATCAGTTCAGAAGCTACATGGACTACTGTACTAAGATAAGAGCTGGTGCCCCACTGTGATATAATCCACTTCAGTGGCCATATGGACTACAAAGATTGGAGCTGGAGTCCCAATATAAGATAAAACGAAAGCTCAATCCACGGCACTTCCTAGAGCCTTTCTCCTAAACGAGGACTACAGTAGACCTTTCTACAACAAACATATACTATTAAAAGTCCAAAACATTTATGAGGTGCAGCCCACTTTGTCAGATGCATCTGGTGGCTTGGCTGATATAAGATTTTAATGTGGGGTGCAGACAGAGAAACAAAGGGTGGGACCACAGGGCCACTTATCAGTATTAAAATGAAATGAAAGATTTCTGCCCACATCAAACCCAGTTCTAGGTATATACAAAAGGACACCAGTCAACCTGGACTGCAGCTAAACTCCTAAGGTTTCCCCAAAGAATGAAGGCTAATGGCATTGCGTCCCTTCCTGGCCCATTTAAATGACTTTATTGTTTACCAGGATGAACCATAGCAATAGCACTTAGACTTATATACCGCTTTACAGTGCTTCACAGCCCTCTCTAAGCGGTTTAAAGAGTCAGCCTCTTGCCCCCTACAATCTGGGTCTTCATTTCACCCACCTCAGAAGGATAGAAGGCTGAGTCAACCTTGAGCTGGTTGGGATCGAACTGCTGGCTGTGTGCAGAGTAAGGCTGCAGTACTGCATTATAATAGGATGGCTGGATGGAAGGAATGAAAGCAGCAATAGCACTTAGATTTACATGACACTTTACAGTGCTTTTACAGCCCTCTCTAAGCGGTTTACAGAGTCAGACTCTTGCCCCCAACAATCTGGCTCCTCATTTTGCCCACCTCAGAAGGATGGAAGGCTGACTCAACCTGGACCCTGGTGGGATTCAAACTGCCAAATTGCAGGCAGCCAGCAG